TACGGTAGTACTACTGTTCGTTTAACTTAAAGTAGGTAGGTTGGTCGTTGTAGAGTACACGTACGTAACCAACTACGTCACTGATTCTATTCTTACGTCTCTCTCTCTCTCTCTCTCTCTCTCTCTCTCTCTCTCTCATACACAGTTACATTTGCAGTATATATAATGCTGCTCTCTCTCTCTCTCTCGTACACAGGTACATTTGCAGTATATATATTGCTCCAATAAGAAAACAAATTATCAAAAACCATAGATAATTGGCCAATAATTAAACATTAACTGTATCAAGGTCCTAAGCCCTCAAATGAGTGATCAAAGTTTACGAGATTCATCTGAAACAATATTTCAAGGGATTCCAACAAGAAAATGGAAGTACATTATTCATCTGCAATGAAATGTCAACCCTCCAGGGAACATATTCATCCAAAAAAACCCCTCCAGGCAACATTACTCTACAACATCTCCACATTCAACTTCCACGAAATTGTGGAGCCTAAATACCAAACCCTATGCATTCAAAGAAAATATCACTAACATGCACCATTTATGATCATGTAAGGAACAGATACCTTACAAGAAATGCCCCACTACCGGGAAGAAACAGCTGAATCTACCTTGCAACAGGACAAATACAAGCTAGTGGTTGGCTAAAAAAGAAATACTTTTGTGAAGACAATATGCTAAACCAATAGTATAACCAAGAACCTCAAGTTCATAGGATGCAACACTGAGTCATCTCGCACAGTTATTCATCAGAACTATATATATCTGCAAACAAAATTTCAAGCTTCATAATAATTTCAGATGGAGGAAATTCTCCTAATGCTACCATGGGTGAATTGATGATTGAGAAGAAAAAAAAGGCTGCAAATTTACATTTGTTTTCTATTTGAAGTTTTGGGCCTGAATAAAAAACAACTCAATGTCATGAATTTCCACGAATACCTTCAGACCTCCTACCAATCTCAAACTCTTCCACTGTCTTGCTTGTTATACACATTTTAAAAATTTCCGGGAAAGTCGGATGCCGAAGCAATAAATGGCACAATTTTTCTTTCATATTAAAGTAAGTGTCATTTGGAATTGCAAGGTCATGATCAGTGATTATTAGACTCGTTTAAGGACCACCCATTGCTTCTAGCTATTTTTCAAAAATTCATACAAATGACTACACCTTATCATCAAATAATGACTACACCTTATCATCAAATATAAGTATGAACCCAAACATTATAGTGTTGAAGCGGTGATTCACAACAAGTATGGAAGCAAAGGGCCTGCCAAACAAGTTTGGTTTGTAAGTCGTATCAAAAGTGACCAGATCGTGGTTGTGATCCCATACCATATTAAGAACATGATCTTCTTCATCTAATTTAAACAAATGGAAAAATGATGGGTTCGATTCCTTCATTTTACACTGACATTCCATAGGACGATTGCCATTTTCTCCTCTCAATTTTCTTCTATTGTTTGTTATTTGGTTTTCAATGTTTTGTTTTAGCAAGAGAGATTATCAAGCCCCTAGCTTGCTCTATGAAAATGTCATGAATATGCCTAGCTTCACTATAGAAGAATTCATAGAGTTTATCATTAACTTTATTGTACTCAATAATGTTTGATGTGAACGAATGAGTCGAACTTTCGTTAAACTGTCAAGATCGTGGCTATTATTATTTACAAAATTATAAACAACCCACTCAATAGTCATTATTAGAATTTAAGCTTATCTGTAGCTTAGCTAGACATCCGCATCTTGATTGAGGGACTTTCCTTTTACCTAAGGTATCTTTCTCTCTACAAAACCCTTCTTTGAGCAATCAATCTCCCTATCTATTCTACATCCATCATTTTGTTGTGTATTTCCCTTTCAGACGCCAAACTCATGTGCCAATGCATAAGCCTTATAAAATTTCAAGGCATCTTCTTCGGAACCAGATTTCATGCCTATGCGGGTTCTTCCATTTTAAACACCTTAGATGAGGAACAATGTTCCCTAATTCTCATATTTGTATACTTCCTTTAGGGGGTAACAAGCATGGGTTCTTGCTCGATAGGTTCAATGGTGTCCATCATGTTGTCTTGAATTGACAATGGGGGAGATGATACGCTGCCTGAAATAGAGAGGTTCATCTCTTGTACATAAAACAAAATTTATATATGAAATTATGACTAACAAATGCTTCACATAAAGTTTAATGGTTTACTTTATTTGGTTAAATTTACATTAAATTTTTCAACTAATGCAACATGTACGTATACTAATTTTATTCGCCAAATTCATACTATAGTTCATCAAAATTAAGGTTACCACATTGATTGGTCATGTATTCTGGAAACATATCACTAACATTAATACTCTTTTGTTTAAGAAATGCCCTACCCTCAATTACTGATACAATCCTAGTTCCCCATTAGGGCACATCAGGTGGAGACATGCATGAGTTCTAAACAAAACAAACACATTGACATTTCGAATCATGCATATACACATTGTATATATTGTTATCAGATTGGAGTCATGTATGAGTTTTAAACAAAATAAACACATTGACATTTCAAATCTCGTATAAATACAGTGTATATATTGTTATAAAACTGTATATACTGTTATAACAGTGTATACATTGTTAAAGCAAGGCTGTTTTTATTAAAATGCTGCAATGAAATACGCTGCGGTAAAATTGAGCATATTTACACAGTGCTGTAATACAGATATATCAATGCATGTTTATTAGAAAAAAAGCCCCCAAAATTACTCATTAACTACATTCATTCTCATCTCAAAAAACACAAAACTGAGTCTACTGCTGTATATACAAATGGGGAATGCGAAGGCATGAAAGAAAAAATGCATAAAAATCAACTTTTCACTTGAAAATGCCTAAATCCAAGAAAATGAGTGCCCTGTTCCTTCACAAAACAACCCTAAACCATAAATATACCTTAAAGACCTCAACATAGGTAACATGGTGCCCTGTTCTTCATGTGCCCTTTAGCAATCCATTTTCACCAAAATAAGGGGAAGCCTCACCTCAAAATCCTCATCCTGAAAGTACTTTTGGTGATGAAATCTCTATGATGGCTCTAAAATCAATTTCCAACACCGACAATAAAAGTTGAAACTCAAAAAATATCGAGATATTGCAGATTTGTGAGTACTTATTTTTAGAGCAAAATGGACAGTTGATAGTTCGTAATAATATACATTATTTTTTTAGCTTGAAATCCTATTTTATTTCACAACCATAATGTTCAAGTCAAGATAACCGATGTAAAGGTCTTCCAATGCTTGAGTTATAATTTTCGATTGAGTTTTGAGTTGATGATTTTCTTATTTTGATAGGGCTGCAGCCCTATCAAACTATTTTCCTTTTTTATTGAATTGATTCTAAGCAATAAATAGTGGTTCTAACACAAAATATTTGGATGATCTACCAAAAACATGAAGAACGAAATCTAAATTCTTATTAAATTTCTTTTGCATCAATTTACTGTTGTGACTTACATTATATTATGGTATAGATTTTGACTGGTATATAGAGATTGCAGTCTATGAACTACAGACTTGTCATTGTGGCCTTGTATATTCATTATTTAATGCTTTATAAATTCCTTGTATCTTTTACTCTCTGGTTTTTGGTTGGCTAATTTAATCTTACATTACTAAGTAAATACTAATTTATTAAAATCGTGAATGCATATTAATACATAAATAATACAACATTGACATAATAGTATGCGTATATGTGAATTTAGAATGCAAAGATACACATACGTGGGGGACCTCAAAACCTAAGCGCCTGCCTAGTACCTAAGGCGCCCAAAAAACCCACTGCCTTGGCACTGCCTTTCGTTTTTTACAAACAAAACTCAAAATTCAAGATAGTTTTTTTATTTAAAAAATTTGAGATTGTTTCTCTCTCTAAAAATATTGAGATAATCCATCGCAAGAAAAATATTTTCAACTCAGTTCAAAGGCCCTTGAATTTCTAAAAACTCCACTAGAAGAGCTTAGCAATTGCTCCAGGACTGCCTAAGAAACCTAGCTCATAGAGTATCCAAGCATCTAAGAGAAATATAATGATAAAAAAAAAAAGTAATCCAAGAAAACATGCTCATCTCAAAAAGGTCATGGATAAAAGTGATGGAAGCACAATTAAAAGATGTATTAGGATAGAAACTAAAAAATCATCCATAGAAACCCACCATGCCTTCAGCCACTTTATCAAAACTGCTTGAGCTGAAAAACTCAGTCCTCTAATGGCTCTAGATAGAGAGAGAGAGAGAGAGAGCGAGAGAGAGAGAGAGAGAGAAAGAGCATATACAAATCGTTCACACAATGTATGTACACTCGGCCACCGAAGGGCCTGCCCCTCTAACTCCCCATCAACAGCTCAGATCTCATGCCCCTAATCCTCAAGGGTCTGGATCTCTCCCTTCATGATGCGGTTACTAACAACGTTAAAGCCCAAGACTGATGGGCTCACTTTCTTCCCCTTCTTCCCCTTCTTCTTCGAGCCCTTGTCCTGTTCTCCGTCTCCTCCCCCTCTAGAGCTAGGGTTAATATTATGTACATCTTCAGTGTTATCTTTACTACATAGGTCAGTTCGGTTGCCAAAGGACAATTCAATAACATCAGAATGAAGAAGCTCCTTGTACTTCAGGAACTTGTCGATGAAGTCCCCATCAGGATCCAAAGAGCCCAGGTTCTCAACCAGGAGGGTCTCAGCCTCTGATGTCGATTGCTTTAAGCAAAACTCCAAAAAGCTTGTATCTGCAAAGATCACACCAAAAAAAGGTTGATGTTAACATGTACATCAGGAGAGAGAGAGAGGAAGAGAGAGACTTTTTATAAAAACAAAAAAATAAAAGCTAAAATTGGTACTGCCAGAACAACATAACCGGGATTTCAGCCAAAAGCGACCACAATATCAAGAAATGGATTTCGCATTTTGGGTTCACCTAGCTCAGGCAGGGCTTAAAGGAGGAGAATCAAAAGTTTCCATGGAGAGTACTGGTAGAGGAGAATCAAAAGTTTTCATGGGGAGTACTGGTAGCGGAGAATCTAAAGTTCCCATGGGGGGTTCTGGTAGTAAACTTGTTCCTCCTGTGGAGCTCAAAATGCTGCGGCCCACATGTTTAGTGAGACTCAATTGCCTCATGGTCAGCACACGAGCCCAGAAGACAATTGAAAAACAAAAAATTCAGCCAAGAGAAAACTATTGCAAGATGGAAGTACAACACGTAATCACATCAAATGCAAAAAATAGAAGTCGGGTATTTTTTCAAGTGTTGGGTTTTGTGAGTAAGAAATAGGTAAAACTAATGAATAGTTTCAATACTGAGATTTAATCCCAAAATTTAATAAATGAAAAATCGCAGGGGTTAAGAGTGATACTAGTTCCCTGAACTATGAAAACCACTATATTATCAGAAACGAAAATTCATTACCTGCTTGAAGAAATGAAAAATTAAGGAATTTGTTACAGAAATTAGGAGACCCAAACAGCAGAAATATAAACACCCAGGCACTGGAAGAGAAACTAAGATGCAAAAATAGGTCTAAAATGGTTTCATATTTTAATAACATAAAAAAGTAAATTACATCAAAAAAAAAAAACAAAGAATAATATATAAGCTGGGAAAGACAATAAACAGGAACACATTGAAGGCTTCAGAAAAAGTTACCTTTTGATCCCATGAGCCTCATTGCTTCACTCTCGCACCAGTTCCGGAAATCCATGGCCTCTGCAAAATTTCAAATGTTTTAAGCACACATTGATACAATGCTAAGACCCATGAACAACTTGATAAAGGAGAAAGATGACCTTGTTGTTTAGTCATAGAGGATTTCCTTCCTTTGGAGGCTGATTGAGCAGAACTAGAAGCAGGTGATGATGAAAGGAAATAATCAGAAGCTTTGTTGCCTGAGGATTTCTGTCGATTCAATGTTACCCCAGAAGTACCTTTCACAGGGATGGTTTTGGATGACCAGCTATTCGTACCACCAAGGGATGGAAACTCAGACCTGCATTACATTTCATGAGATGAGGTAAATATCATGACTAAGCCACTTATCCATTTTTTGAATTGAACTGAGCATAGTGTAGTATTGTTGGGGTTCACATCGTATGTTAGCTTCTCGTAAGCCCGTGTAGTACTGTTGGGGTTCACATCATATATCAGCATAATGTAATACTAGCCTAAGAAGGGTAAAGATCTTAAACTTTCCCTTAACCCATCTCAAGTCCAGGTCAAAGAGGTAGGTTGTATTAGGTAGGCATCTAAGTAGGCATCCAACGTAAAACTTTCCATGAATCCTGATTCTGCTCATAGGATAATTGTGGCAGAGATGAGGAGGTTGAGATGGATAGGTGGCAAGACAAGAAGGGATAGAATTCGAAATGAATACATTAAGAGGGACTTAAGTGTGGCTTCAATATGACATAAGATGAGAGCAAGTCAACTTAGGTGGGCAGGCCATGTGCACTGCAGACCCAGTACAACACCTGTTAGGAGATGCGAGTTGTTCAAGTGGAAGGCTCAAAAAGGACAAAGATAACCCCAAAAGGTCATGGTTGGAAGTAGTGAGAAAAAATATAGGGACTTATGGCCTCACTAAGAGTATGATCCTTGATAGGGCAGAATGGCAAACCAAGATTCATATAGCTTAACCCAAATAGTTGGGAAAAAACTCTAATGATAGACAATGATTATGATCAGCATCTCGTTAGCACTCCTATGTCAAACGGTTGAGGAGATGATGGTATTTGTTTGAAGCCAAATAAATACAATAGGATGCTTTCCTTTCTTGAAGTCAATGCATTAGCTAGTGTGCTTGGGGGTGATAATCGGGTTGGGTCAACCTGCGGGTTCACCCGACTCAATAGGCTGACCCGACCTGGGTCTGGGTCTGGGTCAGGACCCGCCTGGTGTATCTGATGGATTGGGTTCGAAATGACGAGGTCCTTATCCATCCTGGACCTAATCAAGTCAGGTCAGGATCGACCTGCTCCAAAATATATGAATAACACACACACACACACACTCACAAATCAACTTGATGCAAAATATATGAATCACAGACACACACATATGTATATATGTTATGTTTTGGACAAGTACTAACTTATTTTTGACCCGACCAGACTGAAGTATCGGGTCTGCATCCACTTGACCTGGACCAGACCAGGTCCACATCTACCCTGGACCATATTGGTTTCTGACACGACCAGGACATTTACACACCTGGACATGCTATCCAAATGGTGGTGGAGAGATCAGATTTTTTAACCTGTTAATTTTCTTTTATTTTTGGCCTTTGAGATAGGCCCTCTCATCCTCTGTTGGGTATCTCTTGTGGGTTGTTTCAGGCTAAATTATGCTTTTCCACAGACATGCTTTCTTCAGTAGCACCATCGCCGTTCAGTTGAAAAGACTCTAAGTCTAGGAGATAGCCTCCCTTCATCCTACTTACACATATCTGTACAAGTAGACAACCAAGAAAGAAGTAACAGGATCCTTACTAGGTTAGCAAGGTGGAGAACGAAAATATTTCCCCTGGCAGGTAGTATTACTCGGGATGTTTCAGCTTGGGATGCATTTTAATTGGCCGTTCTCCTAATTGATTTATTAACTTTGTAACCTTGCCATAACTAAGTCATTTCGCCATGCTTTATTGTTGAAAATGCCATCCTAAATGGCTTTCAATGGCATAAAACTGACAATTTCTAACATGACACTATTTGGACACCTGGTCACAGAGCACTCAGCAGGTCAGAGCGATCCAGACGGCCTCGATGAAATATCCACCAAATGAAGGGCATCAAAGCATCCAAAAAAAAAAACTTATTTTGATGCTATTTCTGCATGACAAGAATTCTCAAAGTCAAAGAAACATATGAGAACACTATCTACATGCCGTTCCTTGGCCATTTAGATGTTATACCCTTAAAAGAACATAATGGCTCAAACTTCAAGCTAAAAAGGAAAACACTTGTGAAGTTCAAATTCCTTGCATAAGTAGTCATTGCCAAAACGAGTATATGTAGTCCAGAAATCTCCCAATGTCATGACAGGATAAATCAGTTGGTTCTCCCTCTTGCTGTTCCCATTGTCTCTCAAGGATCATAACCTCTCCCAAAATATCCATTTCTCCTCTAACATACTCTGTAAGTTATTACTGTGCCATTACCAATTCAAAACTGCCCAAGAGATAGCAAATGCTGGTTTGTTATGCAGACATAGAACCAATCAAGCAGATATACAACAAGGTGTTCATCCACTTCAGTTTGAAATCTAAACACAAAGGTCACATCACCCCAGTTCTTGTCTTTTCTTTACTCTCTTTTTTTTGTGAGAATTACATAGAGAGAAATAAAAATTACATCTCCATTCACATTTCTTTTTTTTTTTTTTTTTTTTTTTCCTTCTTGGAGATCAGCAGTGGGATTCAAACTTCATATGTGGTGCTGCAATTGTTAGCACACTAACCTCACTATCTCATATATGAACAAACTCACATGTCCGAGATATACCATATTGAAAGCATAAATGCTCTAGACTGATCTATACATCAGAAATCTCTTTTTAATGTCTTCGTCCTCTTGGACTTGGGCCTAAGGCCCTCGGCAGTTATTAATTTTGAGAAGACAGACCTGGCATTCAGGGTCAGGCCGTTAACACCAACCATGGCTTAGCCTGGTATGGGCCTTAGCAATCTTCCCTAGGCAGGGAATGAGCCGACCAAGAACGAGCAAGTTACAACCCTAGGGATTGCACATAAATACATCAGACAGGACATCTGACCAAGACAAACATTAGGAGAGCCTTTCGATTGTCTAAAAAACCTTGAACATTGTTAACCAATAACCATCAAAAAGAGAAACATTGTTAACCAACTAAAATACAACATATAATAGACTGAATGAGCAATATTTCCAAATTATGCCTAACAAAGATAACATTGCCAATCATCTCTCTCTGAGAAAAGCAATGGAAGGATGAAGGTCCACAAAGAATTGCACACAAATAAGTAAATAATTAAGTCATATACATTCATGGTAGTATGGTCTGCTAACAATCATAGACAAAAAGAGAAAATATCAATCTTACACTTCCCATAATATAAAGGTCAATGCTCTTAAAACCTAACAAGAGAAAATAGAAAACCTAGTGTAAGAGTAGGCGATAAGTCAACTCATCACTCCTGATGCTACTCTTGAGCATGCGGAACCAAACTTGAAAAGCAGCATCTTCAAGCTACAGCACACATGCTTGCACATGCACACACACGTGCGAGTACACATTCAGAAACAATTGATAAGATTGTCTCCAATAATAGGCAAGAACAGCTATAAATACTAGTTCATAAAGAAGGTTTAAGACTTACTGCTTAGGTTCTGGCTTTGATTGATCTAGAGGGCCCCAGAATAGATCATCTTCCGTCTTAGATCTTGAATAAGCAGAAGAAACTGAGCTAATTGGGATGGGAGCTGCAGCTTTGGATGGAGAAGATCCAGAAAGTTGCCATGAAGAACCGTTTCCCTTGCTCGCACGGCTAGATTGCGCCTTTGGAGGAATAGGGATTTGAGACTGATTCTGAATAGGAGGCAATTTCTTTTCCTGTTGCTTTTGAATCTCCCGCAATGATGTGGGCTTCGATTGCTTGCCTAGGTCAGTAGACCAAGCTGGTGCAGGTGCAGGACTCGGTTCACCCTTCCAGAGAACAAAGTCTCCTAAAGAAGGACCAGATGGTGGCAAAGGTAAAACTTCCTTCTCCTGCTGTATTTGACGAGAACTTTTGCCCTTCTCGATTGGACTGGATGCCACCGAAGATTCAACTGGAATAGCAGGAGATGCTGCCTTAACTCCGGTATTCTTAAGCTTTGCTGCTCTCTTACGACCCTTTTTAGTATCCTTAGCCTCAACGAAATCATCATTATCAGCATTAGGAGTATCTACCTCAAGAGGTGGAAATAAATCTTTCTCAAAGCTTGGAGTTGCAGGATCACCAACAAATTTCTCACTTGTCTTTGCAAGAACTTCTTCAGCCAATAGATCATGTAACTGGCTCTTCCTATTTTTGGGGTTCGCAATGCTAGTGGAATTCCCCAAGGGGATCGCATCTTGTTGATTAGAGGGTTTAGGCAGTTGGTTGGATACTACTCCAGACCAAGGGGTAGAAGGTACAGGATGAACTGGCACTGAAACCTCAGAAACAACAACTTCCTTCTCCGCTCTTTGTTGTTCCTCTTGTTGAATTTCTATTAGTGACTTTGGCCTGAAACCAGGAGCAGCTTTCCAAGCTCGATGACCCGTAGACGTTTGCACGTTATCTTTCGCTACAGACTCAACTTCCCTGGATTCATCTTTTCCATCACCTTGGAAAGCTTTTGGACGAGCTGTCTGTAAATCCAGCGGTTCAAAAGAAGCACCAGATTCTGTGTCTCCAATTGCAACAGGTAATGCGCCGTGGTTCTTTTCTTCCATTTCCACAGGTACCCCAGCTTTATTTTCCTTGAGGATCAACCTTTCATGCCCAACACCTTGCTTAACTGGTGACTCCGAGGCCACCTTTCCTACATCTGAAGAAGACACTGATTTTGAATTTTTTGCTTTTCTAGCCTTCTTCTCTGCTTTCTTCACATCACGGACTTCCACATTCTTCACTTCTTTCACAATCTCTGATTCCATGATGTCCTGTTCGCCCTGGAATTCTGGTTCGTCAGGGATGAAAGCTTTTATATTGCAGTTCTTGTCAGTTCTTGATAAGGTATTATTGTCTTCACTGAAATCAGCTTCTGATTTTGCAGCCTTGTTTGTATGATCCTCTTGAGAAGGTTGAGCTAATCCTCTGCCACCATCAAGGGCTTGGACTAGGTCCTGGGGCACCATGGATTGATGTTTTGACTGCTCCAACAGCTCAGAGTTGATGGAGTTAATCATGTGTGATGAGTGGTCTTCGTGGGAGCTCTCAGGCATGCTTTCACTATGATGAGGAACGGGCAATTCCCAGCCTTTGGAACTGGCATTTGCTTCAAAAAATTGATGAGGCAAGTGCAATGGAGAAGATTCCAAATTGTTCACCATCTTCTCCTCATTAGGAAGACTCTGCGGCATCTGGGTGTTCATGTGGAATGGCTCATTCATTGGATGACTCATCCGATGGTCCATAGAAGTATCTCCTGTGGAAACACCACCCACCTGTAAATTCCCATAAGGTGGTTCCCCAAAGTGTTGCTGAGATTGCCTCTCCAAAAGAACCTGGGAAAGGAGCTGTTCCTGTGTCTGCTGAAGTAAGAGCTTTTGTTGTTGCTCTTGTTTCTGCCTTTGAAGAAAGAGGAGTTTATCCAACAGGGATAATTGAGAAGAGACAGGCGCTTGTTGAGAACTTATCTGCATCTGTGAAAGCAAAAGTTGCTGTTGTAAAATATTCAAGGAATGTGGATCTTGAGGAAGCCCCAAAGAAAGAAGCTGGTCCATGCCAGATGTATGGTCGCCAGGTGACGAGATTATATTAGACAGAGGAGGTGGATGTTGGGGTTGAAGCCTTGGTTGCTGAAACCCAAAACCAGCTTGAGCAAATCGCTGTTGCATATGATGTGTATCTATCTTATCTTGACAAATATCCATGCCATTGTTGAGAGTGTTATTGAGAGATCTAGCATCTGGGAAATTTGACCATGAATTAACTCTATTGTTAATAGGAGAAGCATTATCGACTGCGCCTTGTAAAATAGACATTATATCAACTTGTTGAGGAGAATGGGGGGGCATATGAAGAGGAGCATTAAGTTTTGGGTTAGGAGAAGAAGGTCCAGGCATCATCTCTGACTGTGTTACGATGGAAGGTGCATCTCTCCCTGGCCAATAGGGGAAAGAAGTCGGTAGAGATCTTTGCCTCTCAGCTGACATTTTCTGAGCCAACCGATGGCTTGCATCCAGTCCACTTCCTAGTCCCATTGACTGCATACCACCGATACTGTTCCCTAAGTATTCTTGAGAACCTATAAAACAAAACAGATGAGTGGAAAAGGCATAAGTGGTGCTCACATAACCTGCCACGCAAAAATTTCAAAAGAGAAAACAATGAAAACCTCAAGAGGAAGAGTGGACAAAAAGGATTTGAGATGCCAAAAAAGAAGCCAAGAAATCCTTAAACAGCATCGTGGATCATTTAAAGAAACTAAGGACATTGCAATCATGCCCATTGGTTGAATGAAATAGGTTTCTTTCAATTTCCAATGCTACAAGAAGTATCCCAAACATGTTCAGGAATGACAGAAAGGATTGCAAAACATGGATTAGTGATCTACTTTCAAGTGGGAAAAAAATTCAAAGATAAAATCAAAATCTTCTGGTGAGAAAGCTCACTTTCTATACAGAACCATTATAGCCAGGATACCATGCTGAAAATTAAAAATCAATGAACACAAGAAAAATTAAGCAGAAAAACCCAATAGAATCCTAGAATTTATCTATCTACACTTCACACAGTTTTCAACTACTAACCTTCCAGTGGGGAACTGCTCAGATTTGTAGACATCAATGACTCGAAAAACCTGTTTTCAGTTTCTGTCGCTGATTTCTGCCTTCTTAGCTCATTATTCAAAAGATCAACCTCACTTGAACCAGCACTAAGCTTTCCACTACCACCAAACTTGGTTGCATTTGTAATCTCAGGACTTTCATTAGGTTTTGCAGCTCCAAAACCTGGAGGAGGTCTGGCTTTCATTTTGAGGTGAGGCATAACATCACCAAGTGATGAGAAAGGTGTATCTGGTGAAGCATTCACATGCCGAACCTGCAAATCTATACCAAAGTATCCTGCTTCAAACCATCCAATCAAATCACTGCCTGGGAATGGCCCTTGAATTTCTCCTTGTGGGTCTTTATAATAAAGGGAGAGCTCTTCAGGAGGAACCTGAAGCTGCAAGTTTCTACCAGTGACCATATCCCTGGCACTAGATGCCGATGTTTCTTCTTTGCCAGTCATCAAATTGGTTTCCCTTCTCCTGTCCAAAACATCAGAGGCCTGCCTTCTAAGCTCAGAGTTCCTGCCCATTTCAGAGTGATAACCATCTCGCAATTGCTGGTCTAGTTCATCATTGAAGCGAGATGGGGAAACAAATCTATCACTTTCATGCTCGATGTCCTTGTCTTTCATTGAGGGTGGCCATCGCATATCAGTTGTTTTGGATTTGCCTTCAGTGCTATAGTCCCTCCAATCACTTAAAGAACCACGAGTGCGATCACCAACTGATTGAGATCTCCATGGCGTCCCGGTTTGCTGAAAAGCACTCTCATGACTGCTTGTATCTTTGTTGTGACCTTCATTCCTCGTAGCTGAAAAATCATGAGGAGATCACTAAAAGACATTAATGATATTTAAGACAAAACAACCTAAATCATCCACAATAATAATTTGAACAAAACTGTGCAGGATCATCAAGATTCAAGAATAATCATCATTAACCCTTCTATGGCCAAACAGTTCAGACATTGGCCCAGATTTCAGTAAAATGCTGAACAGAAAATTTCACAACTTCGTAACAACATTATATGTGACAGTTCTCTCAAAACTCAAACCAGTATAGGACCCATGTTTTACATAAGCTGAAAGCAAGAAATGGTGTTGCGCCACTATGGTGTTTCCCCATCACAAACATTGGTTCACAGCTGATAAATTGCAGTTCACCCACATAAGAGAAATAGGAGAAAGACTAGAAGGGAAAAAAAAAAAAGAGTAACAAACAATAAAATAATTCATTGAGCAAAAATATGGTCCGGTGTTCAGGAATGTAGAATGATATGAACTTACTAGTTGCAGAAAAAATTGGTCAACCGACCTTTTACTAGTGTCCAAAAAGGTGATTTACTAGTTTTAGTCATTAGCAGAAAAAATTGGGGAACCAATAAACAGACCACCATTTGCAATCCACTTGACAAGGCCCCCATTATTAAACACAGCACTTCCAATTTTATGATAAATAAAATTAGAAATATACTTAATAAGGCCAACCTGAACAAAAATGATAGACCAATCATACAATAAACAAGGATTGTAAGTAGATATAATACCTTCTGCATTGGAATCGAACTCTCGGTAGTATCTAGGATCCACATTTGGATCAGGCCCAGTAGAGTACCTCTGGTTGCCAGTCTGGCTCTCACTATTAATATCATTGACTTTGAAAACATTGCTACTTTCTTCTTTGAAATCATCACCAATCAACGAAAAATCTTCTCTGCTACCTGCTCAATAATGTATCTCTTTTATCAGTATCATCATGTCATACCTTCGTCCTCATTACCAGGAAGAAGCAGAAATTATAGTAAAGCGCAATACCATGTTTGCTTCTCCGTGACTGAGCGACATCGGTGGTCAAGGTGCTACGCCCTACAGAGACATCCTTTGGGACTTGAGGAGGGAGGCTACTTACAATGTCTCCTTTATCTATTCCCGTCAGAACAATCTTATACATGCAATAGCGAAATAAATACCAAGTACACAGAAGAGAACAAACCTTCTAAAATGCAATGTTAATCTATATTATCAAGAAAATTACAATGTTAATCTTTTTATTTAATTTATCCTTTAACAGAGCCCAAAATAAATATATATATACAGCATTAATATTCTTACCTCTTCTTCAGGAGTAGGTGCAAGAAGGGCCAAAGGCTCCAGCGGTTCTGTTTGTGTAAGAGAAGGAACTTCCTTGAGCCCATCAATCAATTTTGTGCTAACTGATTTAACATCAACCAACCTGTATATATCCAGCAATTTGGTCCTATTGTATCGTAAATTTAAAGCATCTCCATGGCCAACCTCACTCTTGTCAAAGGACACACCCAATGAGCCAGAATTAGAATAACTATTGGCTGACATATTTCCTGTCGAACTGACCCTTCCTCGACCAACAGAGAAACTCGAAGAAAGATGATCTCCTCGCCCTCGGCCAAAGCCATAAATAGAACTTTGTTTGACTGGATTTGGAGGAGGCATGTTAGAAGGCTCCACCCTTCCTCTAATTTGTAAAGAATTTGATGATCGCCAGGAACGAGGGTGATGCTCTCCATCCCGATCACTTTCCTTAGCATGGTTAACCATAGGGAGCATCCCTTTGTCCCTTGATACCTCACCATCGCGACCAGAGTCAACCCATTTGTCACGCCTATTATCAGAGTCCTTATCATCTGGGCCCCAACGTGGGTTCCATTTGGACTCACGACGTTGCTCAAAATTAGTTTCTTTGTTACCTGAATCACCCCACCTTTCAGAGGGAGCACGACGAGCTTCTCCAGAAGCTTTGACCAAAGAATTCTCAGTCCACCTTTCCATCCGACGAGTTTCGGGGTTTTCTTTTTCGCCTCCATCTCTCCAACGATCTCGACGAAGAGCAGAGTTGCTTTCCCTTTCTTCATCCCGCCAACGATCACGGCGTATTGTCTCTGAGTCATTCATGGGTGACCGCCAAACATCCCTTTTCCTTTCAGTATCTAGATGTTCCTCCCCACCTCCCGATGATTTGTTTAGAAAATCAGGGCGATTGGAATAACCTGGATGTGGGCTCATATGGGAATCCTATAAAGCATTAAACATGTCACAGACAGATATAACTTCTTAATTCACATATCTGTAACACCATAAGAATATAGAAACATGATTTAAACTTCAAATTTAAACAATGTATAAAGCAGAAAAAGGTAATGGGAAGATACAATAATTTTGAGTTTCCACATCTGTAGTAGCCCCATAAACATATAGAAACATGATTGCAATTTCAAATTAAGGCAATCTAGGGAAAAGATAGAAAGGAAGATAGAATGGCTACTTACACCCAGCGCTGATCCTGACTTACTCTCCCCAGGCTTTGGCAGAAGCCACTGTGGTGACAGAGGAATAGCAGTCTCAGCACCCATCGTATCTGTACAAGGTAAGAGAGGAGGAAAAAAACAAACTCACTCGTCTGTTGTATTGGATTGAAGCTTCAACAGCAGGTAAGACTTCCAAAGACAAACAAAAACAAATCAACCAAACCAGCAAGTACAAAATTAATTCACAGGCTAATGAGACTACAAAAAATCAATATGATCCAATCCCCATTATGCACTTGCTGAAAAAGTAAAGGCTTGAGAAAGAAAACACCAAGTCAGGATATGAGAGAATTATCATTTTGGTAACATGAAGCATGCTTATTTCCAAGACAATGACAGATTGAATGTCTCGAAATGCTAGCTTACTTATCAAAATAATCATCAGTACTTTCTCCAACATCTCCTGATTAATGGGGAAGATCTCAGTGCTCAGAGAGGTAATAAGTAACCCACAATCATACACAGACCACTCACTAAGTCAATCTGATTTCAACTTATGATCCTGTGGTAGATAGAGATCTAATGGAACCCTATTCTCATGGACACTGGCAGGCCACAAACTTAGCTAATAAGCTAATTGGGAGAGGCAGCATGGTTAAAAAAATCATTTACACACTTTTGTTCGGAACCATAAGTCTACGAACAATTCTCAACATCTTGACTCTAAAAAGGAATAAATTCATCGACAAGTTCAAATCTGTCATCTCTAGCACTATAAATTGCATACTTGAATTTGACACACCTCAAAGACTATTTCACTCTGGTTACTCGGTCCATCCTCTTTCCATGTGAAAACAACAGTCATGCACTGGATTTTTTTATTTTTTTTTTCTGTAAAATGGCCAATCAGTCAGGTTCTTTCTTGGTTCCTTTTATGGCCTCAGAGAAGAGAATAAGTACTTCGATGCGCATTAGGATACATGCTGACTTTCTTCTGTTCATTCAATAATTGACTCGTAAAATAACATTTCTTTATCTTTTATTTTCTACATTTATTCAGTTTTTTTTTTGTCTAGATTTCTTTGGTTCATATCATAAAAGAAAGCCTAAAGACTTGTAATAATTGTCTTGCATTTTATAGAATATTTAAATCCCATGTGAACAAATTTATAGAAACAACTGATCAGAATAAAACCTAATAATCTATAGATCTTTAGATTAGAATCAATCAAACATGAACATATAGAAAAATCCTACCGATTTATTGGATGAATTTAGACAAAAAGAGAGAAAAGAATAACAAAAAGAAAGTGTCTCAACTAAGACAAAACTCCTCCTATATTACTTAGGTTAAAAGGCAACATGATAATCTTATTCAACATTTTAAGCAGCATGAGTGCATCTACTCGCTTACAGTTCCCCTTCCTCCAGCACTCTAGTGAATGATAAATCAAGAACAAACAAAAAGGACATGCATTCAGACCTTAGAGAATAAACAGTGAAATAAGTGAGAAACGAAACAAATTAAATAACACATAAGTGAGTTTTTTGTGTGTCCTAACCGCTTTCTAGAGAGAGAGAGGATGTTTTCTCGCGAGATAAACCATTCCAGATCACTTTTAGAAACACTATTTGAAAGGAAAAACAGGTGTACGCTCCTGCAACTAAAGCTTGCAATGGATCGGTCTTCTGAAAATGAATAAGTGACTCAAAGAGAAAGAAATATAACTTGCACACAATAACACTAAAACAATCAAATTCATGAATACCATTCAACTCAAACAATACAGATTGATGAATACTGTAATCACTCTAGACTGAGAAAAAAATCAATAAAAGGGAAAGAATAGAGAGAGAGAGAAATGTGAAGGCGCCAAAGTTCCAAACTCAAGCTTCAAAAAACCAGCAACATCAAGCCCTAATACAACTCAAGATATTGAAGAAATATGACCAATGGCCACTAAATAATCATACATGTAGAGAGAGAGCAAGCACATATGAAGAAGGAGAGAGAGAACATTAACCTTGAAAACAAACAATCATCTTACCAGTGGAAACCCTCTCTAAAACCCCATTTTAGGTTTTGAAAATTGCCCCATGGATCAGATCAGTAAGAAAACAAATAACAGAGAAACAATACATGATAACAGTAGGGAAAGATACCAATAACCGCAGACCTAGGGTTTTAGGGGGTAAGAAGGGTAGAGAGAAAGGAAATGAGAGAGAGGGGAGAAAAGGCGGCAGCATGACGAGAATTAGGGTTTGACAGAGTGACCTTTGGGCAATGATTGCTGCGAAGCGTTGGAATGAGCGTCGGCATTGCTCCTTTCGGCCATTATCGATCACTGTAAATTGAAACCCTTTGCTCTGGTTCGCTATCAAAGTTAGGGATACTCAGAATAGAGAGGCGAATAAGTTAGAGAGAGAATGAAAGCATGGAGAGAAAATGAAAGCATAGAGAGAGAAAGTGGATAGATAGATATATATTTAAGATTTGGGGTTTAGTTGTAGAAAACCTACACATGAACTCAAGCGAGTGCTAAAGCTCTCGCTATTTTGACCGGTAGAGAGAAATTCACGTCATTTGGGTGAACTCTCACTCTCAAATTCTCACTCTCTCTAGTTCTATGCTTAGTTCTTCTAAGCTTCTCTCTCTAAAACTCACTTTTCTCCCAATATGTTCGAAGTTCAAACTCGAGACTTTGAGCTCTCTCTCACTCTTAACTCTTTACTCTCTTCCTTTAGTTATATACCTAGTTCTTCTAAGTTCTCTCTCATCATCTTACTCCTCTCACTATTTCCATACTATTTTTCTCTTCTATGCCTATTGTTTTATGCTCCGAATCGATTAGTGGTTGCAACGTGCCGGATCGGATCTAGGTCCAATCGGACTCGAAAAATTATCATGGGACCTGGATCCGAGGTCACCAAACTTTGGATCCAAATCCAAAAATATAATGTGGGAGACTCGAACCTAGGTCGGGTCTAGCCATTAGGTCCGAGTCCATTGCCACCCCTAGATTCGGACTCTATTTCTAGTGTTATTTTTAGCTCTTTCTCTCTCTATAACGTGCACATGTGCCTTTTTGTTGTAATTAGTGCGCACGCAGTTTCTATGGTGTGAGACCTAGGTGCTTCTCCTTTCTCAGTGTGGTTCTCTCTATACTCTTCTTTGAAAGCATGGATTTATTATAGGGCTTTGTTCAAAAGCCCAATCCAAGGCCTTCACCTAAGAAAATATATGGGGATTTAAAGCCTCACTGAGGATATGTCATTTAATAAATCAAAATGATATACTAAGATTTTTGTAGCTGACTTCAATTGGTTAAAAAAAAAATTGACACCATTGATGATAATATTGGGTAGAATCTTTATACAAATAATAAATAAATGGAATGTATACAATGAGATCGTTTACGTTTGGTATAGGAATGACATAATTACTTACAATCATCCGATGTGAAATCTATTAGTTTGGTCAATGAAATAAATGCAGCCACCCAATTTCATATTCAATGTTCAATATTAATTACGATCATCTTGTACCAAATGTAAATGGTCTCATTATATACTTTTCCATAAATAAAATATGGGACTTCGATTAGTGGGAACAAGACTTGGATGAGACTTTGGTCAGACTCACCCCAAGACTTAGGATTGTTTAAACAATTCCGGTGATTCAAAGCAAGTCAGTGACTGAGCCATCGATTCTTCAAAATCAAACGGCAGTATTTTAATGATGCACAAGCCCTTTTCCCATCTCCTTTCACCTCAATCTTGCACACTCCTTATAACCTTCTATCTCTTGGGTAGCTCTAACCTGGGCCCGAGTCAGTAGTCCCCACTCAGCTAGCTCTGTATGAAAGTAACAATAAGAATACTTGATTTGGGGCAAAGTCACCTTGAGCTTTTTATTTGTCCCTTTACCCTATCAGGTCTAAGTGACTTAGGCGAGTCCGGGTCACTTACATGTAGGCTGTAAAGGGTGTGTAGGTCTAAGTGACCCGAACTCATCTAAGCCACTTAGACCTACACATCCTTTACAGCATGCATGAATAGCTCTCTTTTTAAAGTCGACAATAGGCCGGGTCTTGAGAAGGCCAAGGCTAGCCCAACCCTGCATCAAAACAAGCTAAAGGTGCCCTAGCCCAATGCCTCCCAGCCCCAGCCAACTCGTCATGGTTTTTCAAGGTTAGGCAGGGCCACCCTTTCATACACACCCCTAGATCCTTTCTCTAACCATTCTCTGTGGTGCTACTTTGGTTAAGGGTGGCAATGGACATGGACCCGATTCGAAACCGAAGGGGTAAGACCTGATCTAGGTTTAGATATGGGTCAAAAAATTGGACTAGATGGGTAAGATCCGAGTCTAAATGAACCCAAACACTATTTGGAGCTAGGTCCCACCCGTTGCCACCCTAAGTTTGATGATCTCTCTCTAGTGTTACACTACTTTGGTTACTTGTCCCTCTCATTATCATAAAACTACAGTGCTCTCTCTGTCAAATCAAACCTCTATTTTGTTCTCCGTTGCTTAATTTACAAGCAAAGGTGTCAAGTTGAGAACCAAACACTAGTTTCCATTGCCAAGCAAAACCTTAATTACGGAAACCTGCATGATATTTGCACTCAATGTTCAAAAAGGAAAATGTCTTTGTGAGCCCTGCGACCCACAAAATAGTATCTCCATGGCTCATATTTAGGATTAGCAAAGGGTCGGGTTGAGTCCAGACCTGGACCCGACCTATTGGGTCCAATTTTTTGACCCATACAGACCCAGATCGAGTCTACTCCTCGGGTTTTGGGTCGAGTCTCAGGTCCGCTGCAACCCCTACTCGTATTCAACATTTCATTTATAGGCTGTTCATTTATATCTTCACTATTTTATCTTTGGATGAGGTTTGCATGAGGTGCTCTCCTTAAATTGTAGAAGCGCACTTTTAAATAATATTGATTAAGCATATCTATAAACACTTGAAAATATACAGTCTACATAATTTGTTACAAAATACACTTGTTTTAGGTATTGAAATTATTTTTTTCTTCACATCTATATATCTCGAAGTCAAAACGATCAAATTGTAAGATTTCCCAACTTCAAAACACTCTCTTCTAGAGGACTTTTGATGTGCACTTTACTTTTTTTTGGGTAAGTCTTTAAATGGTAAGTCGGTGGGGATTTGGGACCCTACCCTTTTTTATTAGAATAAAGTCAAATACCGCATCTTGAGGCTCGATAATACCACTGCCAGGGCCCCAAACCATTCTCATGTGCACCTTACTTCAATAGTATAAAGTTGACAATTTCTATTGACTTTTTCCTTGATCTTTTATTTCTTCTTCACAAATCCCTTAGCTTGATAATTTGGGGAAAAGTATGTTTCATATAGGCATACTTAAAAAGTATAAAAACTAACAATACTTAGAAAATAATGAGCACTAGCTCTACACTGAACCATTGGTTAATGTCCTTTTTGACAAATGATGGGCTCACGATTGTTCCATAACCCCCTCAGCTTTATCGAATCGTTCCATTTCAATAGGCAACAAAAAAAAGAAAAAAAGGGGGCAATTGCTAAGAATGTGTTATTAATGTGATCATAGCCAGTAAACTCCTGCGCAAAATATGTTTTTTTTTAAAAGGGATGGTATACAATGGGACTATTTACCTTTACTATAGGGATATCACAATTATTTACAACCATTCGATGTGAAATTTGATAGCTTGGGAGTACCACAAAGTTCGAAAAAAAATCCTTTTAACTTTTAGCTCAGTCGATGAAATAAATGCAACCACTCAAATTTACATCCAATGGTCAAGATTAGTTGTGACCACCTTGTATCAAAAGTAAATAGTATCATTATATACTTTCCCTTTTTAAAAATGTGGGGCAGTTTATCAAAATAAAAACTATATAATGGGACAATTTACCTTCGGTACAAAGTGGTCACAATTAATATTGATGATCGGATATGAAATTGGATGATTGTATTTATTTCGTCGACCTAGCTTAAACTTCAAAATAATTTTTCTCAAACGTCTGACACAATCAAGCTATCAAATTTCACATCGGATGATTGCAAGTAATTATGACCTCTTTGTACCAACAGTAAAAAAAAATGATAAGATATGTATATGCCTCTCACCCAAGCATATGTATGAGTCGAGTTCGAGGCTCGATCTCTTTTTGTGAGCCTAGCACGTGTGGGATAGCCAACGATCATCTAGCCGTTGATGCATGTGGAACACCCAACGGTCATATAGTCATTAATGAAATTGAGGCAAAAGAAGGTTGATGAATTCGAGATCAAAGGGGATGTTGTAAATGTAGTTATCAAGTTCATCTAGCCGTTAATGCATGTGGGACACCCAACGGTCATATAGCCATTAATGAAATTGAGGCAATAGGAGGCTGATGAAATAGAGACAAATAGATGTTGTAACAACAGTCATCAAGTGGGTTAAAGGGCTACATGTAACTTGTAGTTATTGGTGATGCATGTAACCACCGCAACAGTAAATATGCAGCCACCTTGTGGCTTTATATGAATAGGTCATTTTGCCATACGAGATAGCACTTTACACAACCCTTGCATCTGTCCCAATAGATCATTCTCTACAATTCCGACAAACAAACGAGTAGATTAAACTTTATCTCTCTACTCGATTTTATCTATTTCTCTCTATAAATTATCAAGACTCTAGTGTCTCATGTGTGGGTTCTAAGTTCCAGTACATAGTGCTTAAGAATAACTATTTGTTTTCATATATCCTAAAGATGAATTGCCCTTCTTATGCACATCAAATACTACATTGAAAGGAGGCAAATATCGTCTAGAGATAGCACTCATGTGTACCCTGAAACAATAAGAGTTTGAGATCTAATTTTTTGAAATTGTACAAAATTTTGCCTCAATTTTACCAAACCAACTCCAACAAGTCATGCAACATCTTTTTGTAAAAGTTTAGATGCTAGCCATATATAGATGAGTCAATTTTTTTAGGAGGTCAAGGATTTATCAAACAATTAACACCCTTCGACATATGTGATCCACAATTCTAGACATTGTTCAACTATTTATGAGCTAGTATACTCATGATTGAGGTGAGCCGAACCGCAACTTGAGGCCTCATTTGGATGTGCCCCGACACATGTCTCAACACTATTGGGGCGCTTTTTAAGAGAGCCGTAACGGGTTTCATCGGCCTATTTGGATGCCACATTTTACCCCTATTTTGGCATGCACATACTCTTAAAAACTCTACAATTTTGCGAGCTAGAAAATAAAAAAGAAAATACCATTTTAACCTGAACATGAATGTGTCACATTCTGAGGGAACTCAGGAGGAAATCGATATAGAAACAAGTGGAAGCCAAACATAAGGCAAGTATTTTGCCAGTTACATTCATTCCAATATATATATATATATATATATATATATATATATTTTGATCATCATAATTGAGATTAAAGCTTGACCATTGATCATTATAGCAAGAACAACTTTCATTGCATCATTCATAATATTTGTTTTGAAGAGTAAATATTTTCTGTACATTGAGTAGCATATGAGAATACAATCAAATTTGGTTGCATTTAAGGTTGCCTTTTGAAAATGACTAATGATATTATAAATCTTCTAAGAATATTAGGGAGGCTTTTATTGATAAGTAGGAGTATGAATACAAGGGCTCATAGAGGGAAAATAATTTAGACACCCATTTGCCCATATCCAAATGACACATGTGAGAGTCAATATTTATCCAATGAATAGCTTGGTTGACCTAAAAAGATTTTATACTCCAGTAGGACCATAATGTACATTTTTCCAAGACAAAACACTTGTCAGGTTTGGGATTTCATATTCTATAGTGGTTATGTACTCAACTTAGTGACCAACCTTTTAAAATTTAGAATTGTCTACAAAAGTACAATTTATCTTTTGTACATGGAGATCATAATTATTATTGTCCCTTAAATTTCAAAATGGGTGGTTGTAGGAGTGTCATTTAGTATTACAAAGTTCCAAAATTTTATTTTATCAGCCTTCATGACTCACTTCAAGCCATCCAATTCAACATCTAATAAGTGAAAACGATTTTAGCCTCTATATACAAAAGATATTTGGTCATACAATCCCTTAAAATTTTCACACACAAATTACCTAAAGAAAACCATGCCTTTGGATTGTGCCCATGTTGTCCAATATAGACAGTCTGATCGAGGTGTGTGTAAAAACTAAAAATCCTTTGCTTTTTTTTTTAAAAAAAAAATAGTTTGAAATTATGCATCTAATAATTTTTATATCGGGACCCAAACTTTTAGATAAATCAACCGAGCGGGTTTTTTGCTGGAGGAGCAAATGTACAAGTTGCCTCCGCAGGATCACCACGTATGCACTATTTATTCGCTTTAGATGGAAGATATTTGTGCACCGAATATGCTAGCATTAACTTTGATGTATCTAGTGCTTAAAAATCGTTAAGCCGTATCAAAACTAATTGATCTAACTCGAAATTGGGGCCTCATCTAGAGCAACGCTATCAAAATCGGACTAATAATTGAACTAGTAAATGGTTTGGTCTATTAATCAAAGTAGTAATAGGTTCGGTCTAATCAAAATCGGTCAAACTACAAGATAAATTGTGATTTGATATTAACAAAAAAAAAAAAAAATAATACCTAATTTTTAGACAACCTACCCTTAAATTTAAAATTACAAAAACCCCTCAAAACGAGACTTTTGAGACAACCCAGCCCTAAAGGTTTTTTTTAGTAATTTTTATCCAATTTAAACTTTCCTAGCAAATACCCTAAAGTAAAAAAAATCATATTGTTTTGACAAAAATGCCTATAGTGGACTGCCCCTATTTTGTGTCGGATTGCCCCTTATTTTGTGTCGGACGGCATGCTTTTTAAAAGCCCAAAATGTCGGACCGCATGCTTTTCAGAAGCCCAAAGACCACATGCTTTCTATAAGCAAAGTGCGAGATTGCCTCCATTATGTGCGGGATGACATGCTTTTTTTAGAGGATATTTTGATTTTTATTTTACCTTATTTTTTTGACTTGAGGGTGTTTGCTAAAAAAAAATAAATTTAAGGTAAAAATTACTTTAAAAACATACTTAGTTGGAAAGTTGTCTAAAAGTACGATTTTGAGAAGTTTTTGTAATTTTTAAAAAAAAAAAAACAAAAAAAGAGAAAAAAAAGGAAAAGAAAAAAGGACACGGGAGATGTCATGCAAAACACAAAAAGTGAGGGAAGGCAATTTTGTTGATAAAAAACGGAGGGAAAGTTTACGATAACTAGGGAGTGAGAGAGGGGGGATTTCTAGAGAGAGAGAAGAATCCTATTTGTTAAGATTCTATTGCTAGGTCCACTGTAGTCTCTAAGCCAACCAAGAGCCCCTTCTTTATAGTCTCTCAAACGAAGGGCGAGAGAGAGCTTTCGGTCTGAGGGAGCGAGTAAGAGGGCTAGTCTCAGTGGGAGAGAGGGCTTCTGGAGAGAGAGAGAGAGAGAGAGAGAGAGAGAGGAGTGTAGACAGAGGAGGAGAGAAGAGACGTAGTAGGTACTCGACGACGTCGTCGTACGTACGTACGTACGAGAGACGACCGTAGGTGGTAGTAAGT